GGGTTTTCTCATGCATTCCTCTAAAAGAAAGTCTGGGTAGAAAGCTTTATAAGAGGCCCTTGGAATTATAGTCTTAGCGCGACTGCAGGTTGTAACTTCCTTGGCAAAACCAGAAAAACCTTAATATGCATTGGACAGAAATATTCGAGAAACCGCCTTTATTGTTAATTGACAAAAACCGAAAACCAAAGACTAAATTGGAGAAGACCCGCAACCGCGCAAGCCACCAAAACCGAAAAGCCGCAGTTTTTAAGCGCGAAAACCGAAACCCCGAACCAAAAATTGGCCAAATCCGCAAAACCGAAAATCCCGAGGACCCCTCAGGATGGTATCAAAGTCATAAGCCATGATGGCTAAACCAACGAAACCAACTGCATAATCCAATGGTCTAGTTTTTAAATATTTTCTCTCGCGCGCGATTGGTCTATACTTGTCACGTGGCTGAATATTACTCAGCTAAAACTGGGGAATACCCGAGTGATTTTCCCCAATTTTCAAAGATGCGCGTGTTCCGAAAAATATTTCAAGGATAATAAACACGATAGCCTACATTGGGCGCGAAAATATGCTCTGATATTTGTCCTTGGAAAACTGTTTGCTTCTCGAAACAGATATGTTCGTTTTTCGGAACAGACAATGTCCGCGGACAAATGCCGTTTTATGTATGTACCACTCGAAAACGTTGCATGATAGTTTTATACCAAGCCACGAGCAACGCATGGTGCGAAGGGCGGATGGGGGACAGAGAAATACGGTAATACCGGTTTTCCTGTACTCTGATTTTCTATGGCATGGTACAAGTAACAGAGCTACAGCCGGACGTACTGAGCAATATGAGAATCATATTTGTAGCACCTGTAATAGTGCGTGTATTCCAGCTAGGGCAAAATCCGGGTACACTCAGGCTAAACATGTGGAGAAGTCCTCTGGTATGTTTCCATACATGACGATCCATGACGATACATGACGTACCTAACCAACCTTTCATAATCTTCCGCTGTACTATTTTTTAAATATTGCGGGCTCTTCTTCAGACAATGACGTCACCAAAATGGAGGGATGTCCTCGATCTTCGATGCTAAATGTGGACTTAAAAGAAACATTTCCTACAGAATTTACCCCTTCACTAAAAACGGTAAAGAAAGAGAAGCGTATTGAATTCATTTATAGCCAAATTCTTTGGCCTGAATGCTCTGAATTTGGACTTATTTTCAGTATATCCGAGAGCACTACAACGAGGATGCCGACTCGTACAAGAACGAATGCTCTCAATTGGAACAACTTCGAACGGTAAGTTTATTTAGATCATCTAGTTTTCACATTCTTTGATACATCAGTGTTTGGGTAAGATTTTCTCTCCACATTTGATCCTTGTAAAGTAGATACAAAGCGAGACAAAGCTGTGTGTGTATGTACCCAGTATAGAATGTCAAACTGTATGCGCGTCATAAGAGCTTCATCCGTTGAGTGCTTATCTGTCATTCCAATGAGTTGTTTTAAACGCTCTGGTAGTTTTCGTTTTCGTCTCTGTCTTTAGAGACGTTTTCGTCTCTGTCTTTATTCTGATTAAATTCAATGAGCTGGGTATCTTAGAATGCAAAGAGATTGATGTAATATATATTTGTGTAAAGTGTCGGTACACTTTACACTGGTCAAATTAATTAGCTTATCAATAAAATGTTGAAGTTTCAAATAAAGTAAATGTCCTTGGTAACAAAACTTCATCACGCATCATTTTCGCAATAATATTATTGCTATCAGCCTGTGTCCATCACTTAATGAACAATATATTTTTTGAAGCTCTTTTGAGACATACATGTATAGTGTTATATCCAGATAAGTTTTGTTTGTTATTTTTATTTATTACGGTTTAATGACTACAAAAAAGAATAAATATAAGCCATATGGAAGGTAACGGAGTGAAAACCCCATATAAAAGCAGACCACCAAAAGGGAAAAAAATCCCCTCACCCTCTCACATTAAATTATGACATTAAGAATTTCCAAGCTTTTGCCTCAAAGCTCTCAGATTGGATTCACAGTGAGTATCCAATGGCAGTTCATTCCATTTATCTACAATTCTATGAAAAGATGAGAATTTTAGCACATTATTTCTAGCGTATTTCTTTTTCAGAGTCAAATCTGAGAGAATCAGGGATGGTCATGTTCTGAATAGTACTCAACATAAGGTTGAACATCAATGTCAATAAATTATTATGCCATTTAGTGCCTTGTAAAAGAATAAAACTTCCGCTAAAGCTCTTCTTTGTTCAAGTGACAGCAGTTTCAGTTTCTTTTTCGTTTCTTTTTGGTAATGTTTCATTTCCGACAGGTATAGTTTGCAGGTTGCAGGTTGCAGGTTGCAGGTTGAAATTTAATTATAACTGGAAAACTGCTGGCACTAAAAATAATTAATAACCCATATACTGGTCAGGGATTCTTACATAAAGTAGTTTGCGTCTCACATAGCAGAAAACACGATCGATCTGCCATAAGTACTTATTGATTGACACGCTGAAACCAGTGAAATCTATTCAAAGCCATCTGGATGGCCGCTCCACGGACGTTTCCATCGATTCCAGATTTGGGTCGGGTCTTCCCTCAACAGCAGAAGACTGCCATCACAAATGAAGCAAATAAATAAAGAAATGAAATAATATAAGATTTAAACCGACGGAATATACTAGCACAAGCTCAGTGTGCTTTCATTTTGGTACTCACAGGGAAGAAACCAAATTCAGCAGATATTTCTCATGATATTTCAGATGTTTCTTCAAAAACAATAATTCATTGCAGGCTTAAAATCATAGGAATATACTCTCCTCCCATCGCTTTGGCTGGTTTGGCACTTGGGTGGAAGCCACCTTACAGAGCGATTGTAAACAGTGTCGTGTAACAGTCATGGTAAGTCTACCACCTGTACATTTCTTTTAAGTGCCAGCGGTTTTCCTGTTATTAAATTTCAACCTGCAAAATATACCTGCCGCTTCTGCCACATGCGTTTGTTATTTTGGCAAGGGACGCGTGCATTAAGTCACATTTTCGATTTGTTATATTATCAAAAATTCACTTCCTTTCCTGCTGTCAGACGAAACATGTACAGATTTACCAAAGTTCTCTTTCCGTTGGTTAATATTGCGATTTTTCAGATTGTTTACATTCAATTTTATATATGAAAACAACGGTTTTACAATTCAAAAGTGAGTTCAAAGGACACACACGCTTATGCAAATTCACTACGTACAAAGTAAAAATAATCCGGAGACTGTTGACACTTTACTCATCGATTACTCAAGCACTTTCACCAATGTCTTGATTTGAGAATACAAAACAATGTTTCCATTCACTTTCTTCATTTTCAATGATAGTATTGGGTCTTGCGAAGCAAGTTTCCACTTAAAAGCTGTCGTTCATATTTATGCAAAGTCAACAGGCTGCAATGAAATAATTAAAGCAACCACCGAACTTGAGTTTTGGCAAACCTCTTTGATGTTCATTTTTCATCACTTTCATTTAAGTTTTTCGCTTGTAAGTTAAAGTTGGCTCCCTTGAAGCAGCGTGTAAAACAAGAGCCCACAAAACCAGATGCTCTCACGGGGTAAACTACACCGCGTCACGAGAAATTAATCGTTTTCTCGCAAGCTAACTGCTTGTAATTTATTCCAAAATATACGCTTCAGTGGTTCTCACGAGACAAGACTCTCATCTCTCGAGACGAGAGGTGGTAACTTACTTTTGAGCAGTACTGTATATTTACACTCTGATAAACTTTGTTCTTGTCATGTTCTGTTTGACAACTGCACAAGCGAGATTTTAGGCATTAAATTTCACGATTTTAATTTTCGCATGTCCTGTCTTTCGCGAGTATTAAATTTCATGATTTTTCCAAAGTCGTGAAAATTATGAAATTTAGTGAGAATAAGGTAAATGTTCCCATGCGGTCTCTTACTCTTGGAGATTTTCTTTTAGTTTTATGGCTAACATTTCTGAAAAAAAATTGCTTTCACATGAAATATTCAGGACTTTTCTTTTCCTCACAACTCCCAGTTTGTGTGAATTATGAAAGCTGGCCTGGATAAAGATTAAAGTTCAATAATTTTTGTGCACTTTTGTTTATGGCATGAAGTCCAATTTTCTCCACTAGTTAGTTGTGACCTCTCACACATAAACCTACACTAATGGATACATGTATTTGTTAAATAATCATTGTAAATGAGGGTCACCACTGTTTTGTCAAATTGTTTGTCACCTTTGTTATCTTCAGGATGCATACTTCATAGACTAATTTATTATTCAACATATGAAGCATTAATTTAAGCTAAAAACAAATTGAACAAAAATGTGACTGGAGGAAAAACCCAGTCATTCTAACCTACACGCTACATGAACTTTTTGCTGAATAGCCTCTTTAACTGCAATCATACATGTATGTACATCAGCCGTGGGTTTCATGGGGTGGATGCACAGGCAGTGCATGAGGTTTGCCTATGGATTCATCTCAGGAACAAACGAAGCACAAAATGAGACCAAGACGAAACCCGGCGAATCATGCGTTCTTCAATGACTGTATCTTCATGCTCTTGTTTGTCTTTGTTTTCTTCAGTATTCCCTTGTATTGTTCAGTATTAGACCACAAAACCAAAGAGATTTTTATTTGAAACCTTATCAAAACACACTGAGCAGATTAAAATCATCAGAAGGTTGCTGAAAACGTTTTTGACACAGCATGATACTGCACGGTTTCATCCAGTTTTTCCCATGGGCATGCGCTGGTTCTGCCCTTGCAGTTCACGCATTCCGATGTGCACATGGAAAAGGAAAAGGGGAAACAATCAATAGTCACCATTGGGATTTGAACTCCAGGTGTCTCGCATGGCAAGCTGGCACTTATCACACTGAGCTACTTGTATATAAGTTAGTGGGGACGAAATTATTAATGTTTTATTTATGTACCGCAGACGCAAGTGTTTCACTTAGTCTATAGAGTGTGCGCACATGGC